GAATTGTTAATGGCAGGAAATTCTAACATATTTCAGTCCTAGGTTTGTGTAAAAAGCTTCCGTGAGCACTTTGATTATTAACTTTGTAGGTGTGAATGCAGAGCAATTTCAGCACATAGACATTCTTTTCAGCCTAATGAGAATAGGTATTCTTTGGCTTATATCCAACAGAAAAACTGCCTTTCAAAGGATAGATTTCTGAAAACATCACGATCCATGGATTACAATTTCCAAAAAAAAAAAAAAAAGAACATTAATGTAAGAAAACTCATCAGTCTAGAAGTTATTAGAAATCGTGTTTTGTACCAGCCAATGAAAATTTTATTGCAAATGTTTTTTTTTTTTTAAAGATTGGCATTTTTATTTTATTTAATTTTATTTTATTTATTTGGCTCCGTTGGGTCTTCTTTGCTGTGCACGGCCTTTCTCTAGTTGTGGGGAACGGGGCCTACTACTCTTCATTGTGGTGCGCGGGCTTCTCATTGCGGCAGCTTCTCTTGTTGTGGAGCACGGGCTCTAGAGCGAAGGCTCAATAGTTGTGGCATGTGGGCTCTAGAGCGCTGGCTCGGTAGTTGTAGTACACGGGTCTAGTTGCTCTGCGGCATGTGGGATCTTCCCGGACCAGGGATCGAACCCGTGTCCCTTGCATTGGCAGGTGGATTCTTAACCACTGCGCCACCAAGGAAGTCCCACAAATGATTCTTTCAAGCTCTTTTCAACAATCATTTTCTTAAGAAATAATAGTATAGGTAGCAAAAACAAGGGTCTTTTTTCCTCTTAAATAGGAAAATAGAAAATATTTCATCATTTTGGAAACTCATGTAAAGCTCAATTTAAAAAAACCCTCTTTTTGAAGGAAAAGAGTTGATTATATTGTAGTAGGTAGATAATTTATGAAAAATATAGTTGAATGCCACCTTGTAAAAGGTACTCTTGTAAGTGCTATAAAAGATATTTAAAAATGTAAGAAAAACCCATGACCTCCAGCAGCTCATTTGACAGATGATGAGATAATACACACACACACACACACACACACACACACACACACACACACACACATTTGTGTTGAAAATTTAGATGACAGTATAAGAAATTACGTGATAAGTACCAAATGGTGGATATGGACAAGATGTTCTGGAGATATTTCCCAGTAATTATCAGAGTTGTTTTCCTGCGCAAGGTACTTAGACAAGCAGTGTAGAGTTAGAAGAATATTCTTGGCAAAAAGGCTGTGAGCAGTATGGAGATTCCTTAAAAAACTAAAAATAGAACTACTATACGACCCAGCAGTCCCACTACTGGGCATATACCCTGAGAAAACCATAATTCAAAAAGAGTCATGCACCACAATGTTCATTGCAGCTCTATTTACAATAGCCAGGACATGGAAGCAACCTAAGTGTCCATCAACAGATGAATGGATAAAGAAGATGTGGCACATATATACAATGGAATATTACTCAGCCATAAAAAGAAACGGAATTGAGTTATTTGTAGAGAGGTGGATGGACCTAGAGTCTGTCATGCAGAGTGAAGTAAGTCAGAAAGAGAAAAACAAATACCGTATGTTAACACATATATATGGAATCTAAAAAAAAAAGGCCATGAAGAACCTAGGGGCAAGATGGGAATAAAGACACAGACCTACTAGAGAATGGACTTGAGGACACGGGGAGGGGGAAGGGTAAGCTGGCTGGGACAAAGTGAGAGAGTGGCATGGACATATATACACTACCAAATGTAAAAGATAGCTAGTGGGAAGCAGCCGCATAGCACAGGGACATCAGCTCGGTGCTTTGTGACCACCTAGAGGGGTGGGATAGGGAGAGTGAGAGGGAGGGAGAAGCGAGAGGGAAGAGATATGGGAACATATGTGTATGTATAACTGATTCACTTTGTTATAAAGCAGAAACTAACACACCATTGTAAAGCAATTATACTCCAATAAAGATGTTAAAAAAAAAAAAGGCTGTGAGCAAGTGCCTATCAATGGCAAAAAATCAAAAACTTTTTTCCCAATGTAGAAATGAAGGATTGGGCTGCAAATAAAGGTGGAGGGACCTTGAAGGAGAGGATAATTTAACATTCAGAATACTTAACTTCTTTACATTTAAATTGCTATGTAAAGAAAACATGCCTAAAATTTGTTTTTGAGTATGTGCTTTTGCACATAAATGTGATGATACATTTTTGTTTCTGCTTTGGCTCATTTTCATATTGAAGTCTATCTATTCTGTGAGTTATAGCATCAAGAAAGAATAAAGTATTTTTGAAAATACCCCAAAACAGGAAACTTTTGAACCTGTCCCAGAGGATATTTTTTCTTCATTTTCAATGAATTAACTAGCAGAATCTCTATTGATATTAATTAATTAATACTTTTGTTTTAAATGGGAAGTTTGATCTCTAAGTTAAATGTGGAAAAGTACCAACTCAGCTAGTTTCTTCTGGTCTACATTGCAGTCTTAACACCTGCCTTTTAATGAAAATAGCAAGTTCTCCTAGGAAAGGATGGAAACTATTAGCAGAACCTCAGAGAAACAGCTTTTTCCCCTCTAAGGCAGATGAGAATCTGCACATGGAGCTGAAATTTTCTGAGCACAGAATTTCATAACACATATTTCTGCTCTTTTTGCAATATACCAGGGTAAACTTTTTTCCGTATTCGTTTATTCTTAAATGGCTTGCCTTTTCCTAGGTAGTGTGTGAGGTTAGATAATGTAAATGGAGTATGTGAGTGCAACTGTGTATGTGTTCCAAGATGATGGGGAACCTTACCTTCTGCAACTTTGGGGTTGAACCATTACCTCCATCCCCACCGTGGTTTCTTTTTTTTTTAAATTGGGGTATAGTTGTTTTACAATGTTGTGTTAGTTTCTACTGTACAGTGAAGTAGAGTTCCCTGTGCTATACAGCATGTTCTCAATGGTTATCTATTTTATACATATTAATATATATATGTCAATCCTGATACTGTGTCTTCATTTGGCCTTTTAAAAAAGTTACTCTTCCTTTCAGTCTTGCTAGCCTGACAGTGGATGTCCACAGTCTTTTAACTGGTATTTGGTACACAAACTGTACTTGTCTCCATTAACTCACTTGGTTTCATTTCTATACTTGTTTTTAAAGTCTGACATTTAGTTACTTGAGAGTTTCTAAAGCAGCTTTTGAAGGAGGCTCCAGTAGCAAACAATTAAGACCATAATGAACTTTTCAATAATCCTGCTCTGTTAAGGGCAAAACAGGAAAAGGTTAGGACTTCTAGGGACCTGAAGCAAATATGTATTAAAAGGAAGGAGAAAAAAGCCTTTAAATCTCAAATGACTGTAGATAGATAATAATAATAATGAGGCATCTGTGTAGAATGTTAACACTTGAAGAATCTTGATGAAGATATATGGAATTTCTGTGTACTAATCTTGCCACTTTTCAGTAGTTTGACATTTTTTCAAAATAAAAAGTTACTAGTATATTTTACCACAATAAAAAAAAAAAGATTTTAAAAAGGTTACCAAAAACAATCTCAAAGGATCAGCAATTTTATCCAGATTATTGATGAAAATACCTTTGGTATTAATGTCCCCCATTTTTCTGTTCTACCTCCCTTGATGTCCAACATTAATTGTACTTTAATAAAGACTGAATTAAACAAGTTAATGACCTGTGCCAGCATGTTCAGTAAGGAAAGATCTTCCCACAAAGCATCATGGCAGCTTTGTTCATTTGCAGCTCCCTTCATCACGTTTAAGTTATCCAGTTTATTTCTTTCAACTTTGAAGTTTCTTTTCCATCAAAAGGTCAGATTTGGGTTAATTACCCCAAACACACAATCTTTTGGTGAATCTTTTTTCCACTTTTCAAAACTATTGAGTTATGACCCCAGTTAATTGTGTGGTCTCGTACTGTGTTTAACGCTCATATCGTAGGAGAAGTTACCCCAAAAGAAGAGATATTAGCAATAAGAAACGTTGCTGACACCTGACACAGAGCCTGGCATGTAATAAGTGGCCCATGCCTATTACTTGGACCACTGATGAATGAATCAATGGCTAAGATTAATTACTTACCGCCTACTACGCCCTTAAACGGAGGACTTATTGTGTATTACTCCTGAATCCTCACAACAGCGTCATGTGAACTGTATACCTCAGCACATGTCTACTGTCAGCGCTCCCCGGCTCTCCTTTGTCAGTCCCCTAAGAGAAAGGTACCCACCAAGTGGATCATGATAAACCAGTTGCCGCTTTGGGGTTCTGCTGCCTGGGTAGTTTTGTACTTTGTGGAGAATGTGTTGTATACACAGTGTACCCAAACATTTGTTTAATGAAATGATAGAAGCGATCATCAATGTATATAATCAAAAGTAGATATTCAAACAGTAGTTTGACTTTGGGATATGTTATAAATTTCTCGATGCAAACTGACTTTCTTGTTTTCTCATAACAGTTGATTGGTATTCTTTGGAGAGCCATGACTTACATGCTTTTGTCTTTGGATTCTAGAAGAGCCTTAGAAGTATCCTTTTAGATATTACACACACACACACACAATTTGATATTTTGTGTTATATACTTTATATACTAATTTACCTCATATCTTTATATATGTGATATATGGCATTGACAGTTTAGAGATACAGTATATTGTATTATATTTTATTTGTCTCATACTGCTTTTCTGTAGAATGTCAGTCATGAGGGCAGCACTTTATCTGGTTCATCACTCTGTCTTTGCATCTAGAAGTATGCCTGGCATGGAGTAGGCACTCAGTAAATGTAATTAAAAAGCAAATGCTTTGTGCAGCATGGTGACTCTAGTTAACAGCAACAACAATAACAAGGCAAATGCTTTTCAGTAAGAGGTTTACTGATAATTTTATTCATAGGTTAGTGAGTGCTCTAGTTTAATTTGAACAGTCCTATTCCTTTTCAGTGATTGTCAAACTAGACCTTATATTTGCTTTCTTTCTTTTTTTTCCCTTTTTTTTTTTTTTAAAGGAAGAATCCCCAGCACAAGATAGAATATAGACATAGTACATTTCCAGGTAAGTAATTTTCCTTCAGGAAACTCCAAATGAAACCTTCAAATGGATTCTCCTGTTAAACCTAGATACAGTTTCCAGTTATTGTGAATTTTTAAAATCTCTGCTCCTGTGAATTTGTTGAATTGCTGATTTTAATAATTTTCTTAGATTTAATAACTGATGAGTTTTTATATAGCAGATGTTTTCTACAATCATTGTCCAACAGTATATAGTTGCCTTGGTATCTGTTATGATTCTTTTGTTTGCAGGTACCTTAAAACAAAATCTCAAACTGGCCTGAATGATAAAGAGATCATATTGGCTTCTATAACTGAAAAGTCCAGAAGCAAGGCTAGAATGGACAAGATTTGTTGCTTTGGCTCATTAATAATGTCAATAATTCACCAACACCCAATTTCCTTCCATCATCCTGTCTTTAGAGGGGTGATTTTTATCCTAAGACTGGCTCCTCTCCCCACCAAGGAACTATATGCATCCTTATTCAACTGGCTAAACTCCATTTAACATGGTAAACTCCCCATGTTTATATGTAAGGAGAGAGAGAGAACAACTTTGACTCTTGCTATTCCTAGGAAAAATCATAGAATTAACTTTTTTTAAACTGGCTTAGGTTACATTCTTATTCTTGAATTAATCACTGTGACCACTGATTAGTTTGTTCCACCCTTGGAACCAAGGCAGAGTCCCTTTCTTCAGAGTCCCTTTCTTCAGAACCACAGAGATCCCCAGTAGAAGCTAGTTTTGGGGAAGAAGGGGAGATAGACACCAGAGATGCAACTATCGAATGACCGTCATTCCTGTTTACATCAGTCTGTTTTACCTTCTGTTTCCCCTGCTTCTGAACTCTAATATTTTTTCCCGTTAACAAATTCTGGCTTCTTCATATCATTTATATAATGCAGAGGCCAATTCATCATCCAGTATTTCTGCCCACAGAGTGAGAGAATAAAATGTACTATCCGGGCTATGCTCACTTGCCTTTGTATATGTATAAACACAGCCAACTTGTAACCAAGTGATAAAAATAATTAATTTCACCACAAGGGAATTCTATTTGCTGTTTCTTATTGAAACACACTTCAGTGCTTTAATACTGCGGATACAGATTTAATCACTTTATCTGAGCTAATGTGGTATGGAGTTTATATGTTATCCTTTTCTTTATTGGGGCTGTATCTCAAGCTATAGCTTTTATGGTTGTTAAATTAACTTTCCTTTGAACAATAATGTAATAATATTTGATTAAAACTCTATTTTATTGACAGATTTCAGCACTGCCCCATGAAAGAGCATTTGACACATTTGTATATCTTTACAGAACTAGGAACCATTTTCCTAAAACCGACAATATGCATCATATGGCATAGTTAAAAGTATCTGAATTTTCTTTGAAAAATCTCTTTGAATTATCATTGAAGTGTCTTCTGAATGAAGAACGTATTTTTAGAACAATTAACTTTTCTTAAAAAAAAACTGTTTATTTTGTTGGAAAGACAGTTGTGGTTTTTTTTTTAAGTATGATATTTTAATGTAACAGTTTAGCCTTGTATATTTAATGTACTTTCAAGAGTTGTTATGTGGCAATATAGTCAGAATATCTCTTCCTACTCTAAAATCCTATAAATTAAGGTGTCTGGGGTATTTAAAATATTAAATGTTGAGGTCTCATATTTCTTAATTTAGAGATATCTAAAATAAAATGCTAACATACTTGTTTTTCTTATTTCCCAAATCTTTAAAGTTTAACATTACCCAAGATCTTAATCTGATTTATGTAACACTCATTCACTCATTTATTCATTTATTATGTGTCTTCCAAGTGAGCAGAGTTACAGAGATACATGAGAACCAGCTCTGGCTCTACATGCTTGGGGTGAAATGCTCTAAAATCTTGGAGGAAAGGGGTGGAGCACTTTTTGCCAGGGTTTATCAGGGTGGACTTGATAAGGGAATTTTAAGTTGGTCTTTATGATGGTAGGATTTCAATTATCTTTGTTTCTTAGCTTTGCGTGGGTGGGTATAGGACATCCCAGACAAAGTGAATAATAGATGAGTCAAGGACATTGAGTAGAAAATGGAAAGTTGTGTTTGGAGTTAGAAGGTAGATCAGTTTAATTGACAGGGAGAGTCTCTCTAGTTACTGTGAATGATACTAAAGGGGTGTATTGAAGTCAGATTATAGAAGCTCTTGAAAGCTAGACCAAAGAGGTATTGTGCACTGACAAACAATGGTGAGCCAGTATTTTACCCCTGATGATGAGCAGTCTGAATTAGAGTAGGGGAAGCCTTCTGGAGATTAGTTAGGTAGTTGAATAAAGGACCAGAACTAGGCTACCATGAGAGTAGGAAGATAGGATTGGATACAAGTGAGATTTTGAACTAAGAGTCAATAGGATTTGCCAACTGATTGGTTGTGGTGTGGGGGGTGGGGTGAGGTAAAGGAAATAGGAACGACTGAAAATTAAAGTACAGATTATCAGGAGGCTGGAGATGATAATAGAGATCAGGAGGAAGAACTAGGTAGTTTGTGGGTTGTTTTTTTTTAACACATGTTAAATTTGAGGTGGGGGTATCATAAATACATAATAAAACAGTAAAAGTTAATATAGACCCATATACTATATACCAAATACTATAGAATTTTATAATACAGAATAACTACATGAAATCCTTATTTAATTTCTGATTTGTAGCACTCCTAAAACACTTCAGTTTGTAAAGTTCTTCCATACATGTAACAGTTTATGCAGTGTATTCCAATTTTTGTAGGTTTGACTGCTATCATCTGTTAAGCTTCTTGTATAACTAATTGGTTTAAAATTTCACTAACTTTCCACACTTTTTCATAGTGCTGCAGTTTTAGCACAACATATTGAATACAAGAGTGATCAAGGCCAGGGAAATTTTATTTTAAACTTTCTTAGCTACCTTGCTTGTTGACAGCATTTGAAAGAAATTGTTGTTAGCATTTTATTACCTGATTATTGGAGTCATTCTTTCTGGCTTTGATTATTATGTGATAGTCATGATTCTAGGTGATCAGTACCATTCATGACTCAAAATTTAGAATGTCCTACTGATAACTATTTTCCTATTTCTCTAGTTCTGCAGTTGTATGCACACATGTGCTTATGTAGACTTTTTTCTTTTCAGAAGTAGAAATTAAAAGATCTAGAAAGAAAGCTATTAAGGAAGGTTGGTGAAACTTAAATGAGATTCTGTAAACTGCTGCTTACTGTGAGGAAACCTGAGAGATTTTGGAACATATAAAAGGCTAATGCAATGGTGTTTTAAAAAAGAAATAAACTTAATGTATAATAAAGTGGATCAGACCTGCACAAACTGCTTTCCCAAAGTTAAAAATATGAATACCCAACTAGTAGCTTGGTCTTTAGTAGTAAAATGAGGCATTTAAAAATGTTTATTCTTATAGTATGTAGTAAGCTTTCATCTTTAGAGATGCTGGGCTAAAGTATTTTTTCACTTAAATGAAAATTAATATCCTAACTAATCCTAAGATATACTGGAAAAGAAAGGAAAATAAAACCTGAAGAATTATTGATGTTAAGCTGTAATGAGACATCTGTCTTATTATTGCCTATTACCAGAAAACTATTTGGAGAAAATCAGCAATTTGGAAAGATTTTTTTCTCCATGTAAAAATCTTCCAGCATGTATGTGACACAGTATACTCTTCAGTAGCTCTGCAGACTTGGTTCTTGGGATAAGACTTTTATGGTGAAATTTTAAATTGTACAGGAAATATTGGATACAAACTTCAGAGTTGTCATTCTGTTATTATAAATTCCTCTGCATAAATAGAAAAGTCAGAAATTACCATATCCTAATACCAAATAGTTAATAGCATGTTGTTTCAAATATGTTAAAGAGTTTGTTACTTTTTCTAGAGGTTGTTATTTTTCATTATTATGGTAGAACAGTGTTACCCATCAGTTTTTTTAAAAAAGTGACAGCTTATTTCTCTTGTGCTGCTTTCAAGTAGTCAAGCTGTCAGCCTGTCTCTGCATTTCATATTCCTGTAGAGAAAATGAAAATTCCTGTTTTGTCCTTAAAATTAGAACTTCGGAGTTGGAAAGGATCTTTGAGGTCAAAGGATCTTTGAGACAGAAGAATTCTAGAATTGTAATTCTACTATTATAATGTTATTTAGAAATCTGTAAAGTCTAATGGCTGTTACCATAGTAATCCTAGTCTTATTGAAGCATGAGCTAAATTTTCCAAAGTTTGGAAGCTTATATTTCCTCATTTGGTCACAACCCTGGTGTGTCAATCAGATTGTGCTAGGTTTGCAGCGAAAACAAACAGTCCTCAAATTTTAGTGCCTTACAACGATAAATAGGTGTATTTCTCCTTCATGTTACATGCATGTAGCTGCATGTTGGCTGTGGCTCTGTCTCATGTGTGTTCTCATCCTAACTCCAGGCTGAAGGATCAACCTCTATCTGGGACACACTGTTCTCCTAGCAGAGGGGAAATGGCAATAGCAGAACCACAGAAAGGCCCTTAAAGCTTCTCCATGGAAGCTGTTACTTCCACTCACTTTTCTTTGGCCAAGTCTGATGTCAGTGGGGGTGGGTAAATAGAATCACATCACAGGGAGCGACAGTGAATAACTGGGACAAAAATACATTCTACCACAGTGGAAGGTAGGGTAGCATGAATATGATTATGATATTATTAAGGAACCATTATGAATCTCAGAGGACATTTTAGTCTTGGGAGCCTCATGGTAGGAAAAGTTAGAATTAAGCAAATGTTAAAAAAAAGTTAGAATTATAACAAATGAGAGCTTTAGCCCCCTTTCTAGAAATTTGTAGTAGTTAGCTTTGTATTAAGTAAAATTAATTCTTCCTGGCAGAAAAGGATATTTTACAGTTAGATGTTTCTAATCCCAGGTTGAGTGGCAATTGTTGTGTCATGTACTAAACTGTTTTTCAGTGAGAAACATTTCAGATGAAGATGACAGTGTTGGCCAACCCAGTGAGTACAACCTGCATGACAGCATTACAGATGATGAGGGAGAAGAATATGAGCCAACAGATGAAGATTCCGACTGGGAACCAGGACAGGAAGACCTAGAAAAGGAAGATGTGGAAGGGCTTTTGAAAGAAGCGAAAAAGTTCATGAAAAGAAAAAAGTAACTCTCCTCTGCAGTAATATATGGCTCATATTTACCATTTCTTTGTGGAAAAATAATTCAGGAACCACGGAAGCACTTAAGTGATAATTGTTTTCCTTCTTTTTATAGTTATGACTTTACTATTGACTCTTTACAAGTGAAACACTGAAATGTCAACCTTCAGTGTAGTGGATGGAATTTGTTTTGTTGCTTTGCTTTTTCTATCCTATTTAAAGCATCTGGAAATAATAAGCAGACAGAGTTAAAAAGAAATAATTTGATATTTTTCATGTACTTCGTGTGTTTATAATAAAACTAAAAGCCATAGGTTGCACAAAACATTGGTCTCTTTTCTTTTTTCCAAAGATTCTGTCTTTATATAGAATACTTACGCCAGTATAAGCAGGCAGATTGCATAATTAGTGGGAAAGCATGCTTCTTTCATTCCTATTAAAAGTAATTCTTCGAGCAGAACCAGGCTTTAAAAAATAACAGCCATCATCTAATGGCTGTTATTTTTTCTAGAACCCTAGATGTGAGCTTTGCAATTTCATTTACCACTTTTATTCTTTGAAACAGGGAAATCAGTACCAAATGGATACTGCAAATAGATTCAACTAGACTGTAGAAGAGAAATGTCCACCATGTCGGGGATGTTATTTTGCGTCCCAACTCTGTAATTTACTGTATGTCTGAGTTTAAAAGTATTTAGGAAAACTCAAAGAATTTGACCATTTCTTTTACAAACTGAAGTCCTGCCTGATTATTTTAGCTCTCAATGTGCTGTCCTTATATTAAGAATAAAGACAGTATTTTTAACCATAATTTTCTCAAACGATATTAGTTCTTTTATCCTCAGATGAAAGTAGCAAGTTGTCTGCCAGCATTCAAGATGCTGGCCTTTTATTTCAAGAAGAAACTCCTTCTTCTCCAATTTTATGTAGTGTATCTTTTTTTTAAAATTAATTTATTTTGGCTGCATTAGATGTGGCGAGCGGGGGCTACTCTGTTGCGGTGCACAGGCTTCTTATTGAGGTGGCTTCTCTTGTTGCAGAGCACAGGCTCTAGGTGTGCAGGCTTCAGTAGTTGTGGCATGCGGGCTCTAGAGAGCAGGCTCAGTAGTTGTGGCGCACGGGCCCAGTTGCTCGTGGCATGTGGGAACTTCCTGGACCAGGGATCAAACCCACGTCCCCCACACTGGCAGAAGGATTCCCAACCATTGTGCCACCAGGGAACTCCCTGTATCTCTGTTGTTAAACTACTTTAGGCTCTGTAATACTCTTCATTTTAGATGACTTAGAATCTTTGAAATATAGTTTAGAATCTTTAATTTGGGTATGTACACAACGCAGTAGATACAGTATTGAAATCATAAATCATAAACCAAAAGTTTTCTTGTTAAACACTAATATTTTCTATTCTAAAAGAACCTAAAAATGTATATCTAGAAAGAGCAAGACAGATTTATAATTGTTTTCTTAGTGTCTTTAAATTTGTTTTCAAGAAATTGTATAATATTAAAATTTACTTAAATTACAGCAAGGAAAAGGTAAGTATTTCTCCATTGTCTATTATTCTGATTTTCTCTCTGTTGTTATTTAGGAACTAATGTTCTTTCCTAATGTCCCTTTAGTCTTGGGGGCTTGAAAAACCTGTGAAAAAAAATTCTTTGAACTTATTCTCATTTTGCACTAACTTAATCCTTAAAGTGTTTCTTGATCCACTTACAGATCTATCCCAAAGGAATTAAAAACGTGTCCACGTAAAAACTTGTACACAATGTCCATAGACGCGTTATTCGTAATAGTCAAAAAGTGGAGACACCTAAATATCCATTAGCTGATGAGTGGATAAACAAAATGTGGTCTTCCTCGACAACCAAATATTTTTTGGCCATAAAAAAGAACTGAAGGATTGAAACATGCTACAGCGTGGATAAACCTTGGAAACCTTATGGTAAGTGAAAGGAGACAGACACAAAGGGCCACAGATTGTGTAAACTCTTTTCTATGAAATATCCAAAATAGGCAGATCCATAGAGACAGAAAGTAGATGAGTGGTTGCCAGGGTCTAGAGGAGGGAGGGGGCTAGGGCGTGACTCCTGATGCATAGAAGACTTTCTTTGTGAATTGATAAAAATATCCTAAAATTAGTGGTGATGATGCAAAATTCTGTAAATTTACTAAAACCCACTGAATTATACACTTTCTAAGGGGGAATTTTATGGCATATGAATTATATATCTCAATAAGGGTATTATAAAAAAAAGAATGCAAAAGGTGACACTCGTCTTTTAGAAAGAAAAAAAAGCATTCAATATCAGAATATATTCTTCCTGGAAGTAGAGTAATATGATAACTCATGGTAGCTGTTTTTTAAGGATAGTTTGATGTGCCTTTCATAATCATCCTGAAGACACTTTTGAGTATAACAAATGTATAAATACGTAACTCAATTGACTAAAGTGTAAGAAAAATTTGCCACTTGTAATTGGACTATATTTAAGTCTGTGATTCTCAAAATAGAGGGAAAACTGATGACATTTGTGGGCTCAAAAGCAATATTAACAAAAACTTGATTCTTTAATTAATTGCTGTCCTGAACGTGGAAAAGAGCCAACTCTCCCTATCGTGGTGTTCATGGAATTTAAACTATATCCCAGCCTCCTCCTTCAAGCTAAAAATGATCACATATACATTTCTCACCTACATGTTTAATTCTAAAAGCAGATATTTTTTGTTGACTTCTTGAAGGGAGGTAGGTTTTCTGGGACCTTGGGAAGCTGGAGAGATGAAGATTTTTCAGTGACACATGGGCGCTGATTCTGCTTTTCTCCCAGGTTGAGGATGGCTTTGTTGATACTGTTGGTTTCTAGAACTAGACGATCGTAGTGGTTGTAAACATTCATTGTAATGAAAGCAAATAGATTGTGAGCATAATTTTTCCAGAATGGTGATATAAAGCTGACAATAAATGGATAGTGACTTTCTTCTGATTTATCTATGCAGAGTTCTGTGTCACCAACACACCCCATGGAGGTGGAAACCACACACCAACATGCTATATCCAACCCTGCTCTGTGTGACCACCTTGTTCCAGTTAATTTCTCTTTCATGTGTGTGTATGTGTGTTTGGTTTCTTCCTGCCAATCTGCAAACCTAACTTATGAAGCTGCTCCTCTACAGTAGGTATTGAAAGAAAAATGATAAAGAGTAATTATTGCTGAGATTGTTACCGGCCATCTTGATATAATATACATAATAAACTTGATTATCATAAACAACCACAGTTGTACTCTGTTGTGCCCAAGACCCTGTCTTAGGTGCTGGTGATTCAAAGAAGAATAACACAGAGTTTCTGTTTTCAATATCCTTACAGTCTCTTTGGGAAGATAGGATATTTATTCATTCAGTAACGGTGACTACCGAACACTGTGGAGAATACAAGGAAGAAAAGGACATGGGGTCTACAGTCAGAGAGCTCACAAAGGCAGTGAGGCAAGTATGCAAATAGCATAATGGGTAGAAATGAAATAGTCCAAGAAAGGAATGCTGGAGTATAATTTAAATGTCCTGTCTTGCTGCATATTGAAATACAGTCTCATTCTTGAGGAAGAGCCCTTGTCTGATTTGAGTTACAATCTGAACTAGCAATTTTTTTTCATGGAACACAATTTTTATCTTCAAGAGTGACTGGCAGACATACTGTGGTTATTCACATTTGAGTATGTGGCAGACAGTTCCTCAAAAATGAACTTAGCCTATATTTTCAAGGAAAGCAACCAACAGTATATGTTGTAATTGTAAAAATTGAGCTTTCAAAGAAAAAATTAGAATTTTAGAAAACTTGTGTATGTCGCTGTGAGCTTGATAGCTTCCCAGAACTTTTAAAACTCTTCTGATGATATTGATGGTGATATAATACAATGAAATGTGTCCACATTTAGGAGATCTACAAAACTGAGCAAGCCATTATTTTACAAATGACCAATGTATGTTATAAAATCAGGCATGGGTAAAAGATACATTCAAGGCATAAGATAGACCAATGAAACTTAGTGTAACAGAGTCTGTAAAGTTCATTAATATGATTTCAGGTTACACATTGCACCTAACATCTCAGAAGCTGCTATCTGTCTATATTGGGTGACATTTTGAAAATAATATTCACAATTATCTGAAAAGCCTATTAAAATACTTCCTTTTCTAAGTATATATCTGTATAAGGCCTAATTTTCTCTATATACTTTGAGCAAAACAACATACGAGAGCAAACATGAGAATCTGTCTTTTATTAAGACAGGCATTAAAGAGATTTACAAAATGAGAGATTACAAAAATGTAAAACAATGCCACTCATTTCACTAAATTAAAATATTATTTTCCAAAAAATATATTATTTGTGTTTATGTATAATGGATTTATTATTTTTAAAAGCATTAGCAAATAAATATTTTAAATTTCTCAATTATAATTTCAAAACAGGTAAGTATAGATATGACCCTCATAAACAAAAGCTCTTTAGGGTCCTCAATAATTTTTACGAGTTAAAGGAGTCTTAAGCCTCAGTGTTTTGAGAACCACTCAATTAGATCACTGTACCATTCAACTAGGCTAGTTATGGTGGGATAACCCCCAAATCACAGTGCCTGAACACAAGGAAAGTTTTCATAAGCCAAGATTTTTTGTGTTGGGTGACTCTCCAGGCCAGTGTCTTTCATGTGGCAACTCATCATTCCAGGCTTTCAGAACCTCTGTCATCTTGTAGTTGCACCACCAGAACATGAAAACTTATCAATCATGACTGCAAGGGGAACAAAGAAAGTGGAGGGTTGTACCCTGTTAATTAAATGCTTCATGCTGGAAGTGTCAGTCATGCTCACAGCCCACTGGCCAGAAGTAGTCACATCGCCTTGCCCACCGAAAGGGCCCTGGAAAGTACAATTTGGGTGCCCAGAAAAGATGAGAACCAGATGGAGTGAACACTAGTAATGTCCACAGTCACTGAAGGGGTGAGTGATAAATAGGGAGAAGAGAGTTGAAGACAAGATCTTGTGTGTCAGCATTTAAGGAGTAGGAAGATAAAGAAGACTTCAAAGGAATTGGAGAAGAGAGATGTCAGGAACTTGCTGTGTTGCAGAAGCTAAAAGTTGAGGAACTATTAGAAAGTAGCGAACAATGTCAGTTGCTACAGAATGGATACAAGCCTAAGTACTGAGATTAGATTTGACTTCGTACTTCATGGAGATAATTGAATCCATTAGATGAGAACTTACAGACTCTCACCTGTATCTACCTATCTCCCAGCTATTCCCATATTCTCTGTTGTCTTTCCTGATA